ATAAAATAGTTAGTAAAGTTAGTAATATATTTAATGCACTTATAAAAATAGATTTCTTTTTCTTATAAAATTTATTAATCTAGTGAAATAATGTAGTATTTCAAATTAAAAAAGTGAATATTTAAAATAATTGAATTCTCAATTTATTATAATATTTTGTGTAGATTATACAGACTAAAATTATTCTTTGAAAATTTTAATATAATAAATATTATATTCATATATAACTTGCAAATTTATAATTTCTGATAAGATATTATTCCTATAATTACTAAAAAATATATATTCAAAGCTTTTTAGAATTTATTACATTTCAAATCACTTAACTTTTTATATTGAAAATTTTGGAATCATTCATCCTATTTTCGGATAATTAATTATATAATTAATATCATTGGATTTTTCTATTAAATTATAATGTTTTATATAAGTTCAGCATAAGTATATATTAATTATACATTTATTAATATTTATTATTCGCTCAGTTATATTAAAAATTAGTGATATAAAATATGAATAGTAAATTATAAAGATTAATTTTGTAATTTCATTTGTATATAAAAAATACCCCAAAACGACCATTTGAGTTCATTATCAATTCATTTATATTTTTATTTATATTCGTAATACATCTAAAATGTAACTTTAATAAATGCTTTTCTAAAACTACTAAAATATATTATTCTTTGTTAGACAACAAATTTTATTTATTAACATCGTTTCCTACTAATGTCTTTTCTTTATTATTATTATTACCTTATTTTATTGGTCATTATTATTATATATTATATATATATATATATATATATATATATATATTATATAATTGTTATATATTATTAAATAAATATATAATAAAATAATATATAATAAATTAATCATTACCTTAATTTATTCATTATACTTTTTTCAAAAAATTATAATTTTCACATTTTTTGTATTTCTTTTCTTTTTTTAATTCGTATAAAATTATTGTTAAATTGTGATGATATTAGTACTATAAACGCCGGCTTAATAAATACTGAGTATAAATTTAATAATCATAAATATAAATCATAAACATCAACATATTTATTATATTATTTATCATTTCGTATAATTTTAAATATAAAAAGAATTCCGATTGTTACTGTCAAAGTTTTATAATCTCCTAATGAAGAAATAGTTACATCTTATTTCTTCATCGTTTTGTTTGGAATACTAATGAAAGTCACTTTGTAAACAGGCTACGTAAAAAGGCGCGAAGGACTTCTTTAGTCAGCTCTGTTCGTGACAAAAAAGTTAAAAATAAATTTTAGAGATGTTTAAAAGAATTGTTAACGTTTTTAATTATTCGCATATCAATTATTTCGCGTAAATTGATACTAAAAAGTACGCTTCGTTTGTTCAATGTATTGTAAAAGTTTATTATAATTTATTTGTATAATGTAGAAAAAAAGGCAAGTTTAATAAAGCTAAAGTATTATTTAATAGACAATCTATATTTGCATCGATATTTAAAAATTTCTTATGCCAGATACGCCATATTTATATTTTCTCAATGAAGATTTAATATAATTTATTAATATTTAATAAATAATATAAAATATTTTTCATTTTATTCCAATATGCACGTTACGCCACAAAATTTTAATATTAAAACAACAGTAAATTATTTTGCAAGAGAAAGTTTCATAATTATATTAAAGGATAAATGTTTAAACATTGATAAATGGAATTGAATGGTAATATAATGGAAACATCCTATATTGTCTGGAAAAAAGTTTAATTGTTGAATGTTATGTATGATAAATATTTATTAAATACTATAACTGAATATCACTTAATCTATTATGAGTATTATCAACAATAATGATTATTATTTGATATAGCAATGATTGATTAATATAATTTACGAATAATCGAAGTTATTATTCTTCATATCTGTATGCCGAATAAGCAGTCAGATATATATTTTGTGTGTTGATGATTATTAATTAGGTATGAAGAAAAATTAAGTACGATAGGAGCACGATAGAAGATCTTGTAAAATGTTTTGTCCAAATCAATTAAAAAATACAGAAATTCGAAGAAACGATATTCGAATGAACAATTGAGAAAGTAATTATTAAGTAGATAATTTTCATCGATAGAAAAATATATATTAAATAACCAAAAACATGAATTAAATTAAATCATTTTTCGTCTCCCACTCAAAAGGTCGTTTTTTTTTTAAATATTAATAAGTCATTTTAGCGTTCATTCTTACGAAAATTCATTCTTTATAAAAAAAAATTAATTCTGTCAATAACCGTATTTTTTATAATAAGCAGAAAATAACAAAATTACATTTCACAGATATTACAGATAAAATAGTGAATTTTATTTTTAAAAATATTTTTCAGAGAGATTTGTTTTTATTTCATTAATCAAAGGTCAGTTTTCAAATGTTTTAATCTACAAAACTTGTTTAATGAAGCAATACATATTCAATTAAATGCAAACTATCGATTTCAATATAAATAAATTATATTACAAATTTTCATAATTAAGAATTCTATAATTTTTGATATGTTAAATAAAAATAAATGAATTATAATGTATGAAATAAAAACAACATATTAAATGATGAATTAGGCGATGTAAGTGACGTAGATTGAGTAACGTATTGAGCTCCTATTATTTAATTTAGAATATAAAAAATTATTTTATTAATTTGAATCAAAATAGATAAATAAATATTAATATATTGACATTAGTTAACCTGAAATTTAAAAGGTATTATTTATATATTAGAATATAATTTTATATTACAAAATATAAAAGGTATATTATTTTTTATATTTTATTTCAACGACTTTTCCTAAAGGAGAATAAAAATCAATTCAGTTTACTATAAGCCCCAATTATTTGTTATATATTGTGATAATTATGATTATGACACAAGAACGCTCATCGCTCTTCTATTTTTAAAAGTTTTTTTTTTTTTTTTTTTTTTTTTTTTTTTAGAAATTATTATGAAAAGCATCCTTTTCATAATTGAAAAGTTTAATAAGTTGAGAAATCCAAGTCTTGTCCAAGTTTCTTCTGTGCTTCAATAAAAAAATGTCTTATAATTTTTACTATATTTCTAGTTGTACATATATCAGTTCAGTCTCTATCCTACATTATCATTGAACTTTGTTTAAAGCACTGAATTGAAAAGGGGATATTTTTAAAACTTTCGCAATAATCGTGAAAAATTACAAGAAATATTGAATACGTAGATCAATTTTTAATCTCTGTATTCTGAATGAAATTTAACCAATAAGATATAAGAAAATATAAAAACAATCTAAAATGCCACTATTGATTTATTTACTGATTTCAATTTTTATTTTCCATTATAGTGTGCTCAATTCTCAGATAAAAATATATCATACATATTAACTTTTATAAAAGATTCTTTCTAATGTTTGCATGATTCGTTGGTCACATTCACCAGTGTCAGTAATTACTACATATCGGAGTGATCAATGTTACGTGCCTAAGGATGAGCCCTACGAAGGATGATTTATAATTTTGAAGGAGAAGAAAGGAGATATGGAGTGAGTAGACTTTGAATTGAAAATTTGCATCTTCAATTTGTTGGCGATTAACATGGGATGAGGGACTTTTTAAAATGCATTATCACAAAATATGAATGTCAAAAAAATTATCATTATGATATCATTAATATGTATAATTGAGATCTTGAGTTTCTTAAAAGATTATATAATAAAAATAAAGTACAATGATAAGAAAAAATTCTTTAAAATATAATTTGAGTTTTATTATCATAGATACATAGTAAATAGTAATTTTATAAATTAAAATTTAGCTGAAGCATTAAATTTTTAAATAAAATGCTTAAAAATCACGACCTCCTATATGCTCTTATTATTATAATTCGTATCACTCTTCATTTATTAATTTGTTCACGAAAATATGTAAAAAAAAAATTGCTCTGCAATCTTTTGTTGGTCGAAGCAATCTCTTTTGAAACCGAAGCGTGTATTTTTTTTAAGGAATGAGTTAACAGTCAAAGTTTTCATCGTCAGTGCATTCGAAGAAATATACATGTATTTTATATACACTTATAATATAGATAGAAAAATAATTAAATGTCTACACGACCAGCTTACCCCTGGAATTTGTGCATTTAAAATAGATAAATACGTTCTCGCACTATCATACAAATACAATTACATTTCACGAAATTCGCAGACAGATAGACAATGTTGTTTTTTCTTTGATTTGTATTTGAATATTTTTTTTTTGGTTTTCGATAATTCACATGATCGTAGATTAGTAGATTATTAATCACAATCGCCGATACATCAACGGTATTAACATAAATCATTAATATACAAAATGCATATGGCTCTGTAATTATAAAAAAAAAAAAAATATATATATATATATTTTAATTATTTATGCTTAATAAATTGAGCTTTAGCGTGAGATATTCCTTAATTAATTCAATCGAAATAAAATAAATTTTTTTAATCTAAGTTGTTTATAATTACGTTAAACGAAATAATGAAAATCGTATTACTTTCAATAGATATCAATAATTTAAAATTATTTTTATTACTGTTATTATAAATAAATATTTAGATTATAACGTGTAATGAAATTAAATTTCTATTATATTTTTCAGTATAGAGATATTCATATTATAATGATAAATATTACATTTAAAATTTTCATTCCTATTGTATCCTATGTGTGTATATATATATATATATATATATATATATATATACATTCGTACTTGATATGATCTTTCTGCGATTTTTATACGATTATAGTAATAGAAACTAGTATATAAATTTTTCATAACCAGCTCGTACTATAAATAAATATAAAAAATACAAGTTTACTTGTCAGCTGTAAAGGAGATGGTTTTATAATAAAGGTGTAAAGTTTATCGTAATTATTTTACATTCAAGCCTCAAAACATATTTATAGCAAAAACTATAGTGAGAAATAAGCGTTTATGAAAAATTATCGAAAGGAAAGTAATTATAAAAAAATATTTCATATACAAGAGCAATCGGAAATTGACGTACAGAATCCGGAAGATATCAGTCTCTTTGAGTAAGCAAGCACACGTCGTGTCTACGTCTGTCGAATGCACGAAAATCTTTAGCGACTATTCGAGAGAAAAAATTGGCCCTCGAAACCTGCTCGTTCTCACTAGCGATTTCAATTAACGAGTTTTCCGGACTTCATTTCACTTCCTCTTCGATCTTAGTCCTGTTCCGATGAGTCTTCCGCATCAAGAATTGTCTTGAAACAGAATGGTTGAAACGCGTAGCCTTGTCCTTCGTAAAATTTGCTCATAAATTCGACCCTGTAATAAGTATTATTACATTAAAAACTATTATGACATTTGATCAATTTTTCATTTCAAATCGATTCGTCTTTTACAATATTTTTTTTGCATTACGCACTTATGGCGATTAGCAATTCAAAGGAATAGAAACGTAACAGTTACGTCTCGTAAAAAGTCATTCGTATTGAAAAACAAAAATAATTTCAACGATATATTGCCAGAGTCAATTTGAAAACGTAAATAGATATTAATTGACAATGCTCTCGGATATTTTGTTCAAGTACAATATTTGGTATTTATAATAAGCTTAATTATTAAAAAAATTAAATAAGATAAAAAAAGCAGTCTCCGTTCGTTAGCTGTTGTACTTCATTATTTCCATAAATTTGTTCTCGCTATTGTATTGACGTATAAACAATAAATGTGATATTCTATATAACATGTAGCTGGTATATAATTAAGCAATGGGAAATTTCTACGTAATAACAATTCTATTACATTTTTGTATTAATAGAAATTACGTGGTAGTGAAATTGCTGCTATCGTAATACAATCATTGATAATATCATCATCTTTACTTACAAAAACTTTACTTCTATATAAACTTCTATATATCATAACTGTTATATATATATATATTATATATATATATATATATATATATATATATATATTCTTATATCTTATTGCCATATTGTTTCGAAGGAATAAAAATTTTTATTTCTAGGCTATTAATAATTATAGAAATGTGTGAAACGCATAAAACGTTTATGTTTAGATGTAAGAGTAATTGATTTGTGTAACAGAATCGAACCCAATCGCTGTCGATAAATTCAGTGCAGGGCGTCTTGTTATATAATTTAAAGCACTATTTAAAGTAAGAAAAGAATAGTATCGTAATGATTATTATAAGCTGTATAGAAGAAGAATTTATAACCATAGAGGTATTTGTAATCAAGCATTAGTCGAATATAGTAAATCCAGTTAGTAATATCAACTATGATAACGCTACGATAAACCGTGCTATCGTCGTCGCTTGAAAGAGAATTATTTCTTACTTGTACCCGTCATAACTGCCGTTAAAATGTACTTCTATTCATTTAACTACATCTTTTGTACTTTAAGTTAAATTGAAATTACTACATTATAGTATCGTATTGTGTTGTAATGAATGAAACGGCACAAGTTGTTCAATATGTATAATCAATAAATAGTAAATACACGCGAAACTTCTTTTTCTTCTTCTTTTCTTTCATTTATACCGATGCATTATTTATTAATTTATTACGTTATTGTGCGTATTCGATGTTAAACTAAATTTTATTCAATGTTATAGATTTTCGGGGCACATACATAATGACCTCATTTTTTAAATGATATGATTCTAAAAAAGAATATATACTTGATTTGTGATTAATTTTGATATGAATAATAATAAAATCATCTCTAATTATAAAGTTACGTACAATTTTATTTTTATTTAAATATTTAAATTTGAGGAATTTTTTAAAGCGTGAAATTATTGAAAATCTACTGAATTCGCAGACAGCATTGACAAGCTGATTTACGAAGCTGACTGACACAAGGTTTACACGATATTAAACCTTTTAAGTTGCAAATAATATTATTATATATAATGAAAGTAGATAAAATAATAAACAGACACTTGTTTATTTTTTTTTTTTTTTGTTTTTTTTTTTTGTTTTGTTAATTTCTCCTATTATATTTGATTGTAATTTTTTTTCAGAATACTATTTTAAAAAGTTTAGAAGAGTTGTTTATAAAAAAATGTACGCAAATAAGCGAGAATGACGAATTTAATGGCGGGCCGATAGAGCTATATAGACTCTTTAAGAAAATCGCGGAGATTGATTTCCATATTTGAATAGAAGGTTGTAATGAATGAATTTGAACGAGTCCATGAGCCCATTCACAGGCAAAATATTCAAGTCCAAGATAGTAAAGCAGCCTTAACATACAACTTTGCTGAAACTATATCGAAACATGGAGGTAGATGTGTTGAGTGAACTCGACATTTTACACAGATATTATCAATAATCTAGCAATTACAGTTTGCCATTAGTATTGCAGATTGAAGTGACACGATCAATGAAACGGGTGAGATTTCGTTTCTACATAATGACTATATTTTTGCAATAATTTAGAGCAGACGTGCGAATATTACACGCATAGTCAATATGGATAGAGTAGGGAAAATTATAAATTATGAATATTACTAATAAGGTTGAGGAAGCTGATGCAAGTTAAAACTTTTAATAAAATTAGATTATCCGATACTTTTTCCAGCATACATCATTATACTTTGTGCATTTACTATCATACTGATAACACTAGAATCTGAGTAATAATTATAAATAACTATCGACGATTCATAAGTACATTTTTCCATGATTAATTGACTTGGATAACTTGTTAGGTTAAAAGTAGCCCTTACCAATGAAGACGCAGCGTGTGAAGGAAGGCAGACAGACCCTCCATCATAACTAGAATCGCTAGGGTGAAAAATGCCCAGGCTCCAAATGCCACGAAAAGGAACAGGGATTTGGTCCAGTCGTCTCCCTCGGCTCCCAGGCCAAAGTGGAGCACCATGTTCCATAATACCTCGGAAAGCTGAGCATGCGCGAGCGACAAGGCCCACAATCTTAGATACGAGGCCGTGTGCGATATCGTCGAGAGAATATACTCGATCGTGTGGATCGCCTGATGAATCATTATCTCGCCGAAGGAGTCATGATCCTCGTGAACGGTGGCAGTAGCGTTGCTCGGGCTTGCCGAACCATTGCTCGTTTGAAGCTCGATGTCTTGATGGGAGGCTGAGCCATTCGTCTGCAGCGAGAGAATATTTTTATTTTTCAGTAAAAATAATCACTTACTATATAATGAAGCCGTAGTTACAGCAAAAGATATTTTATCCTTATAAATGTCTGGTATTAAGATTTAATGTGACATTAATCGAGAACATACATTACAACAATTAGATAACAATGAATAATCATAATGGCCAACTCACATAAACTTTACCCTTGGCGTTCTTTTTCGTGCACAATACGAAAAGTGGCTTTCCAAAAAGTAATAATGGTATGCAGGCGAGAGCGGAGAAAACGCAAACTTTCTGAAGCACAGCTTGCCCGGTAAACATAAATTCATCACAGCCGGGTGGAACCTTGGAGCTCCCAAAGAGCATCATATTGATAAATGTTATTAGAATTGATGGGGCGCAGCTTTCCGAATATCTCCCTTTAATGAAAGTACAAAATGTTTATTAAAATTTCACATAATTCACAGAATAATGCTCGCAAGAGGTGAGTTAAGTGGTTTATGCGCGCAAAATTATGAAGCAGCATTAAATGGTACGGCGATTTATATTAATAAACGACAATTTAGTAAATAATCAAGAATTTGCGCTAGTGAATAGTAATTATTTATTGTAGAGATAAGGAAGCACGATGAAGATAAACGAGGAGTGAAATGAAGTAGAAAGACGAAGAATAGTAAAATTCTTACCTTTATTCGATGCACTATATATAACCCACTTGATAAACATAAGAGACACCAAGTATGCAAAAAGTAGTAGCAAGAATATAAGTTGTGGTAGGAACTCTAGGAAGAAACTGGCGTATTTCTTGAAATGCCTGGTATCGGATAAGAATACAAAAATTGGTTAATTCCTTGTTATTAAAGCGAGGTCAAGAATAATAGAAGAAAGAAAAAAATGTGGAAAAAAAAAAAAAAAAAATAAATTAAACTTATAATAATTATTGAATAATATTATGAATAATAGTAATATTAATAGTAATAGTAATGATAAGAGCAATTTATTAAAAAAAAAAAAAAAAAAAAAAAAAAAAAAAAAGTAAATAAATTTAAAAAAATTATAAAGATATAAAGATTTTCAATTTGCATTGTCTGAATATTGAATTTTTTTAATAAAATTCTTCTACTAATTGCTAATTGACATTAAATTATACGTTATTGGTGGATTAAGTAATATAAATATTGTCGTAATATTTTTAATGTAAACGATTGTTGTACTCGACTCTGAATACCTATGAAAATACAGTTAGTCGCACACTTACACAATATTGACGACGCTCATGCAAACGCCAAAAATCATGTGAACAACGCCAAATATTATCGAAAGTTTCATCTTATATGAATTTAAAAATATAATCTTGTTCTCTGCCAACATCCACACTGGATCCATGCCAACGGGATAGGGATATTGTACGTAAGAATCCTTTGGATCTAGCGTTATCATCTTGGATTTTTGAATGATATCGAGGGTGTAATTATCGTTGACGTACCAATTGGATCGGAATACATTAACGGATTTAGAGAACACATCGTTATAGATGATACCTGTGTATATAGAGAACAAGCCCATAAGAAGGATGATGTACCGACCACCGAAAAATATATTCCAAATTTCGTTGGTCGATCTTTTGGCCAATAATTTCTTTTCCCAGCCAACCATATAAGCTCCGAATAAAAACATTATGAGTCCTGTAAGAATAAAATTTACAGACCATTAAATTATAAAAATAAATAATAATAAATAAAATTTTTTCATTCAATAAAATAATGATTATTAATTCCCCAACTACTTTATTAATTACAAATTTAATATTAACAATATACGACTGACTGATATAGCAGCTTAAACTTAATACTTATTTATAGATAATGAAAAATAAATAAACTTTAAATATATAGTTTCTTTTTTTTTTTTCTATTAGAAGATAATGATAGCTCGATAAGAATTACCTCTCCATTGTAGTGCCAAAATCATGAGAAAAATGAATATCGTTAACCATCAAAAATATAAACAGCATAAATGCATAAGAAATTTTCTTGTTTCTCAAATATATATACATATATATATATATATATATATATATATATATATATATATATATACATATATATATGTGTGTGTGTGTGTGTGTTTTTTTTATACTTGCCGTGGCCAGCATCACCGAACATTATACTGAAGAGAAATGGAAATGTGACGATGGTGTAAAGTGCGGGATTTGCTTCGCGATAAGATGCGACACCATAAGCATCTATTAAATTTTGAAAACCTCGTGTAAATCGATTTGTTCTGTTAAATGTAGGCGGATCCTCATCCGTATGAATTACGTTGAGAAACGAAGGAATGGAATTGCCACAGAGCCGCTAAAAATATTATTTTCATAAATAATATCCCCCGTTATATACGGCAATTTACGTGCATTTTATGTGTATTATACACGTTGGCTACATAATAACGCTTCAACGCTTCAACTCTGACGTTTTACTAAGCGACAATAGAACGAAATATTTATCAATATAGTGCATACCGATCCTTCGCTCAAACAATTTTGCACAATGGTTAGATCGGCCATTGGCACCCAACACTCTCCAATAAGACACTTCTTCGATACGTCCATGTTAAAAAGATTCATTGTATGATAAATCGCCTTCATCTTACGCACCATAATTGTCCAGTTTGGCAATTCTTTGGCAACATTGTGAAGAACGCGTTGACGATGATCGTGCGTTTGATTCAATACCTAAAATAACGCATACTAGTACATTACAATTTAATTGTCTGCCTCGCATAAAAAAAAAAAAAAAGAACAGAAATCGTTAAAGTCCTTTAGTTTTATCGTGTAATGAATGAATGCTTAAACATAAAAAAAAAAAAAAAAAAAATATGAAAATCTTTGTCAACATACTACTCTTAGATCAATCATATGAAGCGCAAAGTCATCGGTATAACAACAGAAATAATCAATGCTTCTAATGTTCGAGCGAAGCCAATAATCATAATTACATTAAAAATGTCGCTTACTAAATTTAAATCTTCTAGCCGTGTACGAACTCCTTTAACCATATCCATTCGCTCTCCATGGCTACTTGGGCAGGGATAAAGGGATGCGTGAAAACCGCTGCAGACCTTTTTAATGCGGCTTTTCAGTTGCTCGCCTTGAAAAAAGGCTACAAAAGCGGTTTTGTAAATTTCGTTGCCCTGTGAATCAACAATCATTTATGGTTGAAAAGATCAAAGAAATGCGGAAGGGCTCTGAAAAAGTATAAAATATTTTTCACTCGTAATTTCATAAAGCTTACACAGCTTACACACCATCAGCTGTGTTGGCCAATTTGCTTTGGATTCTTCTCCCTCCTCAAACGCAACACACCCACTCACCCACCCAAACACACGCACGCGCGCGCACGCACATACGCACGCGCGCGCCCACGCCAACACCAATACCCATCAGACCCTAATAACAACGTATCTTTATATGACGTGAGCTATGCGATATTTGCTCCTAGATAGTAAAATAGTCAATGGCTCGTAAATTCTAAAATATGCGTTCGAGGACTATTTAATGAACGAAGAATTTTCTCCTGGACACTCCACATGGTGACTCTCATTGGATAGCCAATTAATCCAAAACAATCGCGATAGCGAGTCTAGTCAAAGGCTCTGTACACGCTCGAGCCCCATACACGAACATCCATCGCGCGCACCAATTCCTACACGCATACATACCGTGCTGGGATCCTCCAGGGGCTTTTCCAGACTCGCCTGACGCAGAAAGACATTGCCTCGGGATATTCTCCAAAGCATTCGCTCGAAAGCCGGCATCCGCTCGCGGTTTATCACACCCGCTACGAATCTAAAATAGAAAAGCATGACACAGGGAAATGTTTAATGCTTCTTCAGTGAGATCGACGACGCCGCGAAGTCTTCCCTCTCGACCTCTCGTCTTCCGCCATCTCGATATCGCTATCCCCTATCCAGCAGGTGCCCGCTGATTCCGTCTTGCCCCCTTCCCTCTGCCTACCCTCCTTTGACCACGAAGCTCGGAGAGATATCGCGCCCTTCGCTTCACTCGCTTCCCGCATTATTGCGCAAATCTCGCCATTATGAATGAAATAATAAACGAGATAAGGTGAAATTAATTCCTCCGATCCTCTGGCATCCAAGTGCGTGTCCACGTTTCCAAGTTGTGGATTTAGCATTGAAATGCCATAGCGCGATGCAGGATCGAGCATTTAGTTTCGACTCGACTCGTATCGATTAATACTCAATTCTCTATTTACTTGATTTTTCCTTCTGATCATAATAGTTTTACAATTCAGCAAATAATCCGACTAATCTTAAGCATTGTAATCACCCAATCTCGTATTGAAGGCTTTTTGAAGTTTTGAAATCATTTGAAATTTCACGCAAATATTCGTATTCCACACATATACCCTCCTAAATTCCCATGATTATTATTATTATTATTATTATTATTATTATTATTATTATTATTATTATTATTATCATTATTATTATTTATCATTGGATTCGCGTATGCTCGTGTCATTTCATTCACAAGGAAAGGAATATTGATCTTGAATTGCGTAAATCATTATTAACGAGCTTTAAGATATTAATTGTAAATTTAGCGAAAAATTTAACGTTAACTGTTTCAAATAATAGTGCAACATAGCTAAGTACGTAAACATTACGATAATTTCAAATAAAAAAAAAAAATATAATGTTATAGTTAATTTAGTAAAATATGATATTTTATTGAAAGCCATTGCTGTAAAGTTACTTGCTTACAATTCAAAGGCATTTATTTTTCTCTCTTTAACAACATTAAATAGAAAATATACCCGATATACGTGATAATAAATACGAGTGGCACGATTTTCCTTTTTTTTTCTTTTTTTCTTTTTTGGTAGGAAAAAGTAAATAATAAAAATTTCATAATTTCATTTTCTACTTCAACCCTATTCCTCCTACCTCCCTCTTCAAGCATCATTCACTGGCTTCGAACGAGCGTTCACGTCCAATTTATCAGTTCACCCATCTAACCTTCCGTTATCTCTCCGAGCTCGCTGAGTGGCCGAGTCCTTGTGAGTGAACAGAGAGAACGATGTGAGTTGCGGAGGAGGATATGCATCTCATAACTTACTCGAGGCGGCCGCGTCCGGTAGCGTTCTGGATCTGGGTCTCCTCATTGATAAGGGCACGAGTAATGGAGTCGTTAGCCTCTTCCTGTTGGTACAGAAGAAGAAGCGAACCTTGATTCTTCGACAAAACGTGAGCACCGATTACACGAAGGGGATTGACACTAAATAAAAAGCTGCCGAACTACAATTAGCTACCTCCGTAAAAAAGACCTGGGTCTTCTCCAGCACGTGACGCAGCTCCATGAGCTCGAGGTAGTTGCTTTTCAAGTTCACGGCATTCTGGCTCAATTCGAGTATGTCGTTCTCCGTTTTCTCTATTCGAGCCTGGAACAATGTTTTAAACGAATGACCCGCTTAAACAAATTTCATATTTTTTGCAATTTGAGGGATGGAGCTTTTGTCATTAAAGGAGCATCGAACGTTATTATTACTTTTTGAGAAAGCTCTTTAATTTGTTTAGATTGTACTCGCTGATTGTGTCCTTCAACTTTATCGACCTTAGTTCATATAATTTACAAATTTACGTACTTTTACTTGTTAATTCTGCCTTAATTAATTGGACGCTTCAAATTGAAGGTAATAATTTTATGTCACTCGACGTTTAATATGAATTTAATATGACTTTTATGTTAAAATTCAAATTAACTTAATAATTTCTTTGAATAGCTATCGATGGCATTCATAAAACGCTATTTGTATTTCACAGAAGTTGATTAGTGAGCTTGACTTTTTTCTATTTTTAAGTTCCAATTTATTATTGATAATATCAGAATTTTCTAAAGTAAATGCTAATTTCAAAGCGAAAACATTCGTAATTACACTTAAGTAAGAATACATTTTCGCGTTAAATCTCTAACTATTATTATTATTATTATTATTATTATTATTATTATTGCTTATTTTTTCATATCAAACTTTTTTTAATCGCACAGTTTTTAATTGAGAATATAAAGCTTCTAATCTACTCGAATCATGAAAAATATTGTATTATGTAATATTATATTTAGCCATTGTAAGTTTCAGAATCCGATATGTGACTTTTATTTTAATTTATGCCAATATATCATTCGCGATGCAATAATACTCGATATTTGAAAGTACGACGATCAATGACTATACCATAATACATATTAATGTCTTAAACATTTTATAGTACTAGTAAGAAAATGTAAATTCAAACAAGACTGATTATTAAGTAACAATTCAGACATGCCGAATTACTCTAACCTTCTAATGCTGAAAGCAGTACTATTGTGGCACAAGAATTATTTTAAATAACAAGAAAATTAACTAATACAGGTTACCAATAGCATATGCCATGCTTTTATTACTATATAAAAGAGTCATGTTACTTCGTATATCGCTGCATTTTAGAAAAAAAAAAAATTTAATTTTTACGACATTGAAATTTTGATTCGCAACGAAATGAAATGGAGGTGCAAAAAATAGTTACAAGTTTAGTTAATCAATCATATTGCTTTTTTAATGGCAAAACATGTTGCTGCATGCGCACAATTTAAAATGGAATTTTACAAACACATATCTATGATCATAAAAAAAATATTCCTTTGTTATTGGGTTATATCCCAATGTTTATAGGGGGAAAATACTAAATTAAAGGAAACCAAGTTATTATGGATGGAGTAATTTGATGATTCGAGTACCTCGAGGTCAATGATCTCTCGTGGATTGGGTGCACGCGGCAACTCTGTAAGATTGTCCTCAATGGGCACCCCATCTTTCTTCACCTCCGCTTCAATGTAGCGCAGTTTTCGCTCCATCTCATCACATCGCCGTACTTCATTCACGAATTTACGTTGGAAATAGTTTACGTCGCCGTTCAGCTAGAAATATCGATAAATTGTAAGTTATTATGGGCAATGGTAATTGTAATAATTCTCACAGTGGACGCATCCATGCTCGAAAACAATGAGCTTAAGCGAGATTCGCTTATCAATTTATATAATCTCATCTCGCGATCGAACTTTCAAAGCACCGTTACGAATTCTTCATTAGATGCGATACGGCCAAGTTGAAAATATTTTATAAAATTAACGGTTAATTACAATGACTATTTAATATTATCAGCGTAGGATTCCAGCACCAAACTATAAGATATAAATAAAGAATAAAAAAAAAAAAAAGAATAAAAAAAAAATGAAAGAAAATACTGAAGCGTTTAATTAAAAAGAGTAAATATCTGATATAAGGAGTGTTTTGTTGTTTTACAAATCTATGTGAGTATCATATTTAAAATAATTTCATGATTTATATCAAAAGACCAGAACGTCGATATTATTGAAAATAAATGTGTTACGATAAATAAGATCTTTTTGCACATAATGATTATTCGAACGCGAGAGGAAATGAATATAGAATATATAAATAAATCAAATCGTAATATATAAATTACATTTGACCTATGCTAAATCTAAATATAATAAATGTCTATCTAATTCTCATATGTATATTCTCATATGTATATTTATAAATGCAATTTGTACATAACGTAATAAATGTAATCGAATTTTTTTTTATTGAAAATTCTTACATTAAGTCATTGGTTTCCCTTCAGATTCAATAATAAAATCAACAATCTTATTTAAATGATCAAAGTTTTAATATAAAAGTGGCTCCAAGAAACGGAACAAAGCAAACTCAATAAAGTAAATTTAAGAGTAAATGTTAAAACAATAAATAACCATATAAAAACATTTAAATGCTACATTAATAAAATGGATAAGTTGTTTTAGATATTTTTAAAATCTTGAAAATATTACTGAAAAATGTTTATCGTTCGTTATATTCTAGTAACATGGTTTTCAGTAATATTATTATTCTCTTTATGCAATGGTGTAATGTTTATACGAAGGTTAAAGACGAATACGTTGATATTAATTCATAAAAGCATTGTAACGATTTTTAAATTACAGAGAATTATAAACTTAAAGATCACCAAAATGCGTTGAATCATTACTAATGTAAAAAGTAAAAAAACAAAATTAAAATTATGTTGAACGAAAAATGATAAAAAAATTATTGATGACAGACACGAATTAGGTGTAACAAAATATAAATGAATAGTGAAAGAATTTCACACCAAGTATTGAAAATTTTTAAGAAAATAATGTTTTTACTTTTGCAAATATTTCTTCTCGTCTCTTAGCTTATTATTATTTTTAAAAAATTAATAAAGTTAATACTTCAAATAACATACAAGTTGACTATTATTTATGGATCTTTTTAATATTCTTAATTCATAACTATTGTAATATAAAAATATAAAATCATAATTAATCATAAATATTTTTAAAGAATACATAAAATGTATGCTATATTTAGTATTATTAAGGTTATTTTTTGGTAAAACTATCTCCTCGTAATAAGTCTAATAGGCATTTAATAAAAATAATAATAACTGCAATAATTGATGTTAAAATAGGATATGTTATTGTTTAATGAATACGATAAGTTAATAATGTATTAATAATAATAATAAAGAATAACAATAATAAATAATAATAATAAAATGTTAAAAAATAATAATAAAATAAGAATAAAAAAATAATTTTCAATAGTTTAATACGAAATACAGATACTCGTTGAATAATAAAAAAGGAGTATTATTTATCTCTTACGAAATCATTAAAGGAATCAATTACTCAATTTTTAAGATAGAATTTGATTGAAAATTCTTAAAATACAAATTTTAAATTGATATACACTTCTATTATTCGATCTAAGTGACTTATATTTTTGCAACAAGTGATAAATTACTAGTGCTAATTAGACTATTGATTAGTGGTAGTTTACGGGTAATCCTCGAATCATTACATCGTCGAGTCTCTATTAATCATTGGAATCGCTCGAGTATTCAGCTTTTCGACTTAACATGTTCAATCGTTAATAACGTAAAGCACGCCGAATGGAGAAACAATGTATTTCGTCGAGGAGAGTAGCGGGTTGCGGAGGCGTGGCAATCATTTTGAGAGAAAACTTATCAACTACGCAATTATAAGTACTTACGTCGCGAAATTGAACGGTGCCAGTCTCGCCGAGTTCCGATACTGAGAGATAAGCAGCCTCCGGCTGAATGAAAAGCTGGCACAGGGCCATCTCCTCGCTCCTGAACAAAGCTCCCATCTTAAAAGGATGATGATATCAGGATCCCTTTGAGCTACTGCTGAAACAGAAGAGGGGCAGACTTGGATTAGTGATATTTTTAACATTTATTAAGGGTTGCTCGTTCCGTATATTCGATCTCCCTGGAGCATTCGCAAGCATAATAATACAAAATTTCGTTCTGGATAATTAAGTTTTTAGATTGATTTTTTACGGCGCAAAAATATATGCTACATATACGTGCGATTCGCGAATAAGAAATTTGTTATACAATGGCTAAAAATACGTCATGTCTTATGCGCAAAACACGATGGTTCGCCATTATAACAGAATTTTATAACTTAATTAATTTTTTTATTTATTTAGTTGTTCTTGCTAATTGAGACAATTGACTTATTACGCTATCAATTTTATTAATAAGTATATCATTCATCTTATGTACATGTATTCAACATTATTGTAAATATTTAAATCACAATAGAGACATTATTTTTAATAATACATATATCAAAGCTCGTCACTTCTCCTTCGAATTAGTCGTTATAAAAATCAGCAAATAATAAAAATCGTTACTATCGAATTTCTTTAGGCATTGCTTTTACATAAACATATTGTCAATAGGCACATTGAAATTATTATTATTACTTTTACTATGCCAGATATTTCATTGTATTTTATCTGTAAATGTTGAAATTCTTAGGACTTGATTATTTTGACAGACATAATTTGAAGTAAAAATTTCAAAACTGTTATTTTAAATACGCGATATATTTAATATTCTATATTCAACTTTATCGTTTAAATTTCATTCCAAATACTGTAATTTAACTATTATTTTAATTACGATTACAGAAAATCAAGTTAATATTTCACTTTAATATACTTATAAATTTTATAGCTAATTTAATATCTAAACACGATCTTTTTTTTTTTTATATCAAGTTTCATTATTCTCATAAATAATAAATATAGGAAATTGATAGCTATAATTTCTTATCTTATAATTATATAACTATTATTTTATATTTATTTCCAACTATTATGCATGATATATCAATTTTATTATGCTATTACAATATGTAATATTTAATAAATGTATCAATGTGTAAAAAAATTACATAAATATTGTGTTATTGAATGACTTATTATGTTCAATAAAAAATATAAACATATAAAAATGAAATTATATATATATATATATATATATATATATATATATATAATATCTGTAAAGATGTACTATTTAAACAAATCAATTTCTAATTAGAGATTTGAGATTTAATATTTTTTTTATTATAAATTCATAATTATAATCAATATAATTATTCCAATACATTTTTATTTTCGTATAATTAATGAAACATACTGAACATAATGAATAACTTAATGAATAACATAATAAAATATTAGCATATTGTTTAAAAAAATTAGTTTAGATTATTTCAGATTCTTATTCATATACAAAGAAAAATAAAATTTAATTTTATTATACATATCTTTAGTATGGATTTTTAAAATGGTCATTGTTTACAATAAATTCGTTGTAACAGCATATAAAATGAAAAGGTGTTCGTCAGAAATTATTATTTTATCAATTAATGTTCTAAAATAATTCACCATACACGTACTAAAAATTATGTAAATTTATTTTTACAAATTGAAATATATTTTTGGAAAGGTATAATTTTATTCATATATAATTGTCTTTGAATTTAAAGTACTATTAAAATATTAAATTATTAAATTAAATAAACATTCTTATGGATGATTATATAACTTCTATTATTAATAGTGAATAAAGTATATTTATAATTTCATTATGCATATATATAACAATTTTGTAAAGAAATTACAACATGAATAGTTCTATAGTTAAAATTTGATATATTACTTCAAAAAAATGTTTGAAAAAGAATTTTAAATATATTTATTGTATTGAAATTAAAGATTATTGCATATGCATATAAAGAAAAAAACTTCTTAATGTGCTTCATAAGTATTGCATTAATTTTAATGTCAACTGTATTTTTAATCTATAAAATATGTATAATTGAATAACTAAAGGTAATAATAAATACTAATAATAATTATCATTTCCATGTAATGTGTAATAAATTTTCACATACCAATAACATTTAACGATGCGAATTATTGAATTTCCTAGTATTTCTAAGTTTCTCTAAAATAACATAAAATATATTCACTTATATAGGAACAATATTATTGTTTATATTACGTAAACTGGCAACAGTAATTAAAGTTACGAATTTCAGTAGTAAAAACATGGATTTAAATTCAATGGATTATATTTAGTGAGTGGAGAAATATTGTAATTAAAAATTTAAAAAAAACAATTGTACAGTATTATTGGAAATATATTAACACGTAATATTGTACGTTAATATAATTACAAATATATTTAATACATGTTTTTATTTATAATTATCGAAATTGCAAATGTGCTTCTTCTTACAATTTCATTTTCAATTTATTATGAATCCTTATGATTTATATTTAGATATGATAATTATTTCCTTTATGCTAAAATCTTTCATAAAAAATAAAAGAGGGACTAAATAATTTAAATGCACATTCATTCTCGAAGTTTTTAAACTGCATATTGATCATATAATAGAAATTGGTAATCGACAAAATTTATTTTACAACTGTTCATAATTATTGCTCTCAATTATATGATAACTAACAGAAATAAAAATTCACATTTAAAATTTAAAAACTTTTCACTAAAGTACAGAATATTATATAAATTTTTGCCTGAACATGTCTTGTCTTATCTTGTGTCTGATCTACGTAGATAAGAACATGAGCTCAACATTTACATTAACGCTCATAAAGAAGTTAATTGAAAGATATATATAAGCTTGTAGCGAAAGGAAATACATCAAATTTGAAAGAATTTTTTATATATAATGCAGTAGAAAAATAATTGATGCATTCTTAAAATACGCACGTTTAAAATATTTGTATATTAATAAATTATGTAAGAAATGTTTATAATAATATTTTTGTAATTATTACTTGTATATTCAGAATGTTAAATATAATGTATAATTTAGTTAATTTGAAAATTATGCTTTAAAGTTTTGTAATATATATATATATATATATATATATATATATATGTACACACACAAGTTTAATTAACGAAAATTACAAGAATTCAACCTTTATATAATTTCAAATAAATATTTTTTATAAAACGTATTTCATAATGTCCTTTGTTCAATGATACTATTATCGAAGATAATACTTTCAATTCTTATTGTTTTTATGGATAATAGTTGGCAATGTTTAGTTCATATAAATTTTACTATCCAAATGACAAAATTAATAATATTAAATACATAATTTGATAATTAAATTTTAGACAAAGTTGTAATATGTATGTTAAAAAATTAACATTATATAAAATTCCATATATTCGTTAATCTCTTTAATGATATTATTGATTTCTAGTTATAAATCGATGATGTTCAAGGATATTATATTATAGTTCCTAAGGTTTTGATCAAGGCTCTTACGTACTGTGCATAATGAAGTAAAATTTTCTCCGAAATAAGCAATTATATCGATGAATATAATGAATTATAAATAAAAATCTATAAATTTTAATATTATTACTTATGTACATTCTTGATATTTATGTTTTTATTGTACGTATTATGCGAAAAAATTTTATTTACTATAAATTAATATAAAAAAGGCAAAGAATACGATTCAAGCTTCAATAATACTGTCCACGTATAAATCTTTTCAATGTATAAAATTTCAATTGCAATTTCCAATTAGGACGATATTATAATATTTCTAGCAGTTACTTTTACTTCAAAGGTTGTAAAATGTTACTTAAATAAAGTTCGAAGTTCCTAGAATATTTAGTAAATAAAAAAAATCGATCACTTGAACGGATACGACTGAAAATAATCAATGCAGTAGAGTTTGCACGTTATATTCAAGATCTTACTATTTTCAAGTTGGTAACTGTATTAAGAATATCGTGTGAAGCTAAATAGAACCATAAACCCTTCGGGTGATACATTTTCATAAATTGACTCTTGATACGAGTAGAAAAATAAGTTCAATACTGAATATTTTATAAAGAGTGGTCCATGATTGTTTCTGAAAACATCTAGTTTCCTATTTCATCACATACCGCTTTATTCTATAATTAATACTATTTTAATCAAGCGATCCGAAAAAATCTCTATTACCTGCTAAACAAAGAGCGAAAAAACAATTTATTCATCACGTGCATTAAATCATTTTAGTAGGTAATTCTAAAGAGTTGATTGAAAATTTTAATTTATAGATTTATTAAAGGCACATTTAAAATAATTTTCTTAATTTCCAACTTAATTATTTCATGCCTTATCGTTCATTATGCAATATTATAAATAATGTAATAATAGTATATATAATATATAATAGTTATATAATAAAGTAATTATATAATACATTATACTGCATTATTTATGAAACATACATTAATATTGATAACACCATAATTTATTACAGCATTATCTTTGTACATAATTAATGTCAAATACTATTTTACTCGTAAATTCGTTAAAATAAATCCATAATTTTAACGATTTTATGGCACATGTGTTGACATAGATATCTCTTTAATAAACAATCATTATCTGGTGACTGATTAAAATGCATATTGTAATAGAATTTTGTTCTTATTAATAATCATAGGATGATAAAAATTTCGTGATTTTTTTTAATTAATGGTTGAATGTTGTACCCAGTCACCAATTATTTTATTGCATTTCGTGACTATGCCATAAAAAACTGCAATAATGTTTAATTGTATTTTTTAAAAATTCATACTGTTTTATCCCACGATTTTCATCTTTTCAAGTTCAATTTATTTTAAACTCTTTAATAGCCATAAATGTGCATGTCTACGTGATGCTGGCAATGTATTGACAAACTTTCACATTGCTTTCCTGAAATTATTTACGCACTAATGAGTCTGAAATAAATTATGAAGATTCATCGAAATTTTTGTCATTCCATAAAATAAGAAGAAGAGATCATTTAAAAAATTTTACATATAGCTTTTATTAATATAGCTAAAAAAACTTTTCGAGCAATAAAAACAATAATACAAACATATTTATAACACACATATATATATATATATATATATATATATATATATATTGTATATATATATATATATACAATTTATCCAGGCAGGCATAAATTTTAAATCTTAAATGTTATGAAAGAAAGTATAATGTGTCTGTAACGGTCATATAAAATGATGTACAATTTGCTAATGGGAAACCAAAAATGTGAGAACTTTAAACGATTAAAAATTACTGTGCAAGTATATTGTTACACTAGATTTAAAGAAAGAAAGATATTCTTAATTTTCCTTAATATCCTTAATTTAATATCTATAATAGAAATATAATATTCCATTTAATTGATGTAATTTCCATATGGTTCAAATGTATTGGAATATTATTAATTTTTCAATAATAATTACTTGAAGAATGCACTGACTTATTGACAGTCTTGTATTATTACAAAAGAACTAAGCGGTGAAGTTCGTAAAACTCAAATGTAACGTATATGTAATGAAATATTTATAATGAATCTATTGCAAATCTCGATCAATTCTCTTCAAATATTCCGATGACAAATGAATCATATTAATAAATTATTAGCAAATTAATAAATGGCAGATCATTCATAAATATCGTATACGTGTATAAAAAAAAAAAAAAAAAAAAAAACAACATTATTTGATAATTCGCTGCAATTTGAATAAAAATGATGTCACTGATACAAGGTGAATACTTATTGATAAGGAGCTGATATATTTTATCTGCAATATCGTATCACTTTTACTAAAACCGTTTTGAACAAACCTAAGATACAAAATTATTTGACGAAACGAACTTTATTTCAGATTTTTCGTACAACTTTATTATTGAACGTTTATTCATTACTAACAAAGATATTACTAATTTACTTTTTATTAAATGAAATTTTAAGTATTAATTTGCATACAAAGTACATTACAATTTAAATTAATAATGAATAGAAAAAAGAAAAGATAAAAAGAAACAGAAAGGAAAGCGTTTTGAAAAAAGATTTCCGTATTGAAGAACTATGTGCTTTTAAATACATAACATTTGTATTCCAAGTAAAGTAAGAAAAAACAAATTTACATACGAGTTAAAAATGAAAAAGATAAAACAGAAAAAACAATAAAATCGGTCTTTAACAATTGTGCATTAGATTTGTATTAAGCAAAGGTAACTCATAGTCACTGCGCACCACGTAGCCAATGCACTTTAAACAACTACTCGATGCAAGAAAAATGCAGAAACAACATTCTACTCCTCGTTTCTATCTCTTTTTTCTCTATTGCGTAATAGCTGCTCGGATGTGTTCGTACACGCCCAATGAAGCGCGCGCGCGCTCGCTCGCTCACACACTATATCTACTAGATGATCACGCGCTCGTACGTAAAGCACAAATAAGAAAGCAGCGCAACTTACTTATAAGATGAAGGGTTGGGTAAGTATCGTCGGGAAGCTGAGGTAAAAGCTCGCGTTACTCTTGTCCCGGTGCCTAACGGCTCAAGCTAGAAATTCCAACTGAACGCGCGAACGAAACGACGTTTGACCGCACACCTGCTCGGCTTAGGGAATAGAGGAAGATCGGCTCTCTAGTAAGGAACGAGGCGTTATTAGCTCGTTTGCTGTCCTGCTCTTGCCGGAGATAAGAGATGCCCCTCTCTTGCGCAAGCATGTGAGTTTTATCGCTCATTATTCCTTTCGTTTGCCGGGAAGACACATTTTCGCTCGGCGTACGAGCTTCGATTATGTGTTCGCGGCTCTGTCCGATTGTCTCGCGTGCGTATTCCGTTTGAAATTATAAATCCTTAAAACGCGGGAATAATGCGCTTCCGGATTTCGATGGCTCGACGTTGTTAGCATCGTTACGTACATCATAAGTGGCCCGCTCGCTATTTTAACGAAGATACATAAAGATGAAACGCTAAAATGGACGATTACGTTATCGGCATTCTATATGGTGGCATTGGATGAAAAACTTCATGAAATATTTAGAGCTTTGAGTTATTGAAAACTCGATGAATTATCCATTATAAAATTTATCTCCACTTTCTACAATTTCTTTCTATATCATTCCAAACGAATACAATTGTGTTATTAGTAATTTAACCAAATACAGTCACATTAATGTAATTGAGAATCTGATAAAACGTTAATACATAAATAATACTTATTGACGATACAAATTATATTACAGTTTAAATATGTCTAATGAAATGCATAAATCAATATTGATTCTGCATCTTAACTTTGCAATGTCTATACTTTTTAATTAAACGAATGAGTATTTTTATTATTATATATTAACTTTTGTTTTACAAACAGAGTAAATTTTACATCAATTATAGATTATAAAAGAATAATGATAACAACAATGTAATTTTAAATTGAGCAGCTGCATGCGAATTATTAATACAATAAAACAAGATTTTTAATCTTTTATTTTAAAAAAGCTTCGAATCTTAAAGAATCGTTGGCGTAATTGTAAGTTATAAACTACTTATTCTTATAATACTATGTAATAAATTTTTTCAGATAAACACATTTTCGTATAACACAATAATATTGAGAGTTAAAAGTCAAATTATATATATATATATATATATATATTAGTTATTAATTTTTTGTATTTATAAATGGCTTTTCAACATCAATTGTTATTTAAATAATTGTACGTAGCTAAAAAGAAATATATTATTAAGGTTTGTTATTATTTCACTATTTTTTTTTTTTTTTTTTTTTTTGATACTTGAAAATATCAAGCTATTTTCCTATTAAAAAAAAAAAGATTAAAAAATAATTTTGTTTCACATTTGTTTATATACATTAGTTGACATTAAAAACATTAATCGTATTTAACCGTTAAATTTTTTTTTCATGTACATTATGCTTAATATTGCTTTGATAAAAATGATAATTAATTTTGGACTTGTAATTTTTCTTACATGTTGTTTGAGTTGTACTAGTAATTGTAGTTCTGCATGAAAAATTCAACATGCTATTGTAAATTATATTACCTTGATGTTACATTCTGATTAAATGACGTAATCAGTTCACATTAAGCACATACAATAGGTAAATTTGAACTAGAAAAACTTTGTTCATTGTATTTCCTTCATATTTGAATATTTACGCAATTCAACGGTTTATAGAAACTGCTGATTACATACTGCGATGGTCTTCGTAATTCCGTCAGCCTTATTAGCACATAAATTATATTACCCCACATTATTATACTTATTTATTTGTTTACATAAATCTTTATTTATGTTATTTTTGTTTTATTGTGTAGAAGTTTCATTTTATTATTAGATTTGATTTAATCTTCAGTCACTTTTATATCGAACCAATCTAGTTTGATATATATTTGTCGCAAGTGAAGAAAGACAAATGGAAAGAGTACTATAAAATTGAAGGACTTTCATTTTTATATCTGACCAGTCCTTCGGTCCCTTTACATTCAAGTTTCGAGAAGTTAATACGCAAGTTCATCTCGATCACGTATAGCCACTCAAGACTTTCTCCCCGCTTCCTCATTCGGATCAAATATTATTTGGCCATATTATTTTTTTTAATGATCGACCATGTTTTCATTCCTAGTAAATAAAGATTTCGCGAAATTATATATGAATTTTATTTAGAACAATCCGTGGCTTCTAACGCTCTACATTACTCCTACAAATTGTATTGAAAAGAACTTCTTGAATGGTCAAGTACTTTTTCCTCCAGTTAAGATTTAACACAACATTTCACTTTTTCCAGTATTTTCCCATTTAGACACTATACATTCATAATAACTGAAAATAACTATATATTATTATATTAAATTATATACGTATGGCTTGAAGCAGAATTCGTTACATTTATCAAATAATTTTCGTATCATATTTATATAGATGTAATTAATTTTTTATAACTTAACCATAATAATATTTAAGTCGTTGTAACATGGTATTTTAAGAGTTTTCACTACCTATATATCAAATAATCCGATAATGTAAGGAAATCCACCTTTACCCTTTTATACGTGATAACGCAATATTTCCAGTATGTTTCCTCTGCTTATTGATTCGTGTACATTCTATTTCAGATATTTGTTCGCCTTAGCGCTAATATCAAGAATACATACACATTTACAATAGAATATTTTACTAACTATGTGTAAAATATTAATTAATTAATTTATAAAGAATAAGAAATTGTTGGCCAATTTCTTCTATGAAACAGATCGAATGCGGAAACTTTAATAAATCTTACAGTATCACATCTTCAATTGGAATTTACGATAATTAATTTGAATGTAAATAATTGATTGCTATTTTATGTGGATTGAAATATTCGATTTGTCCTACTGGACTTGTTTCTAAATCTGTCTAGGTACCAGCATTTTATATACTAAATGAAGGTATGAACAATTCAGTGTCTCATTCCCTCCTATGTATATCAATCTTTTTACAGACACCTATTTGATTTCATAATATTCTTATTTTTAAATATTTTAAATTACAAGCGTTACAAATATACATAATCTAAAAATAGAAGATAAAATTTATAATCAATACCTAGATGGTACTTCTATATATAAAACTTGAGTGATTAAAAAATTGCCATTTTCAATACATAAAATTGTTAAGAAATAAAGTAATCATAGTTACAATACAGGTAAATAATTTTTTTTCAAATTACAATAATTTATTTCGTATTATCGCTTATTTCGTCATAATGAACTATCATTGACTGTTATTTGTAGCGTTAACCTTTTAACATTCTTTGATGTAACCTTCTTTACAAAATGATGCTGATAAAAATAGCAAATTCACTGATTTTCTCCATCTTCGCTTTTTTATATAAAAATTACATTATTTGAAGTTATTTTAGTCTTTAATGAAGAAAATCTATTTGAATTACATAGATCTGCATATAAGAAAGAGTATTGAGATATATGTTTTAGCAAAAATGGAAATGAGGACAATAATTTTAAATAGAAAAGCAATTGAACAAATCATTAAGAGCTTATTGAAAATTTATATCTATAATTTATATCTTCAAAACAATGTAAAATTAAAGAATACGCACACGTTTAGCGTTGAAGAAACGAATTCTACTGCATTTAAGTGTTTAAATGTACGAAATTACCGTAAACATAAATAATGTGACGAGGTAAATTAATTATATACGAATGACCATGATGAAAAATTCAAACTAAATCAAACAGAGAATAATGTGATAATAATGGCACGAAACAAATTTAATGAAAATTCATTTCAAATAGTTATTTTGTATTAATCAAAGAAATAGTTACTCTCTTATCGATTAGATATTGGGATAATAATTTTTAAAAAATTTCAACATAAAAAATTTCTAGCTGAATTTCCAATTAATGTTATTACTTAATGTATAGTGAATATTTAGGATGGAAATTTCTTTCTATCAATGCCAACGATTTATACTATCATTGATTGCAGTATTAATTGCAATCAATTAGTATTTAAATATTTATGAGTTTTATGAATAAAATATATTGTTGAATTTTTTGTATATTTATTTGGAAAATATTTTTCATTATCAATTGAAATATATATTATTATCATTTCAATTCAAATTACAACTATTTTCATATACTATATTTATTTAAAGTGAATAAGTACTTATTTTCATAATTTCGTGTCTATATTTATAATTTCACTAATAAAACAATATTACAACTGATTTATCGCATTAATCATAATTAAATTATAGAATCTTATGAATAATGTGAAAGAATCTTTTATTATGTAATAATATGCAAACTGTAACGAAATATCCTCTCTAAAGAAAATACTTTATTGATGTATTATATGTTTTATTAACAATTTTCATCAATTACTGTATGTAAATTTGCAAATTTTCAATAAGTTTTTATAACCATCTCAGTTTAAAATAAAAATACCTACAGCCCTATACAACTAAAGAAACTGAGTTTATGTAAGTATCAAACCAAACGTCATATGAAATTTATCTAAAGAACAGTAACCTTATATTGTGTGCACTAACGTGTGTGGTAATATAACTCGAATTATTTAAAGATGAAAAAAATTTTCATGTTAGTAAGAGTATTATTGTAAAGTAGTGATATAATTAAAATGGTTGTATAATATAATTGATTGAATAATTTTCCGAACGTAAAAGAAATTTATATTAAGTTATCAGATAAAATTCTCTTGATTATAACAGAAATTTCACTTGGATTATAGATAATAAGTTTTTGTTATAGCACATGTTCAATAATCTTAATGATGAATGCATATGATGACAAAATTTTTTACAAAAACACAATGAAACGTCAATTTGCATTTGGCCTTTCTCAATTCAAAATTATCGTTCAAATAAAATTTGAATCTCATTACTTTCCAAAATTCTAAAGAAGCATAAATTAATTCATCGACTTAATATACTTTCATTCTTTAATAATACATCCTGCTGGGATAATTGCCGTATAAAGTATTGGCTCCATTTCATTTAAACTAGTCAAGAGGAATATATTGTTTTAATGGAACAGTAAAATCCACACATTTAATCAAACTATATTTCCTTGAATAGCTTATTCGTAGCAGGCTTTTATCGTTCAGGTAAATTTAAATTTCAAGCTGAGGAGAGCTTGATGAGAGCTTGAGGAGAGTTCATTCACTTTAATTTCATTACACTTTCTGATAAATTGTATGTATAAAATATGTATGAAATTAAAGTCGATTTACATTTTCAAAAACTTTAAGCTAGCAGTTCGTAATAGAAACAAAATACCTTGGCAAATATTACGAGTTAGGGTACATAAATTATTCACTTTCAAAAATGTAATTCAATCTATTAATACAATCCCATAGCAACTTGAAATTTCTTCATTGCATGTAATTACAAATAAAGAGTAATTCGATTATATACTTTTTAAAAGTAAAGAATTAAAAAATTCATAATCGGCTTAAGAACCC